CGCGCGCACTGGAAGCAGGGAGGAGTGGGCTCTTTATTGGTACTTACGTCAGGGTGGAAAGAACATTTTCTTGCCCATATTCCTGTCTGAGGTTAACGGGCAACATCCGTCTCCTCCTCACTCTCTCCCTCCTACACTCTCACCTCCCCGACTCCCTCATTTTAATTTCTCGCTCCCGCTCTCCCCCTCTCCGTGTCTGCCTCCAACACTTTTATTTCTCTGTGTGGGAGAGCCTTGCCGCGAGCGCCGTCCCACAGGGAGCCTTTCACGCTGCCGATGTGCTCAGCGGCTGCTGATTGTAACCTCATGCGCCCCTGCAAGTGAGTCATGCAAGGTAAAGAAGGAGTTTGTGTGTGTTACAGAGAGACAGCTATTAAAGACACAGCGGGGCCACCAAATGTTCCCTTCATAACCAGGAGATCGGCTCTACCACTGTTACCCACTCAAGGCATCATACGCGCAGTCCCAAGTGTGCATAATTAGGCCGAGCTCAGGAGCACTCTGGGGTTTACAGGCATGTGAAGAAGAAAGCAGGCCCGCTATCTCTGGCAGAAGTTTCCCTAACCGGGTCTTAGAATCAGGTGATTACAAGCCAAGGTTAGCAACAGCATAGAGTAACCCACCAACAGCTGCATTTGTGTATCGTCACTGTTATTTTCAGCACAGAAACAGCTGACACTCACCTGTTTAGCTGTGCTCACCTCCACGTAGGCTGCCTCTCCACCTCCACCCACTACTTCTCCATCGCTTTAGTGCTGATATCACATTTTTCCCATCAAACCATCCTTCAGAGAGCTTAAAAACTGACACCCACTCCACCCAACAATTTTTATCAAAAAAGGATTCAAGGTAAAATTTCAGCTTAGTAAAGGCCAACGCCACAGCCTCAACAGACCCCTGTTCATCTTTACCAGCATGAATGATATTCATTCAGCTGCGTGCCTGCTGCAGCACACTCCTACATCAAGTCTGAGGGGATATACGAGCATATGATTTAAATATATTTTATATTTATATGATTTAAATGTGAGACGAGGTCGTGTCCCCCTGCATGTTTTATAATTAAGCTTGTAGATCGTGTTGTTTTAAGCAGGATTTCGTTGCCTCCTGAAGCTCTTTGAATAATCTTTGTGTTTCAGAGATGTCACGCTGACCTCCGCTTGACAGCTGGGCTGAATTAGCTCATGCACCCGGAGGGCTCACATATAGATAAATAATTTCAAGAGCCGTGATTTGAATACTCATTGGAGAATTGCTGACACCTAACTGATTTATTTTGACCTAGAAAAAAAAATGTGAGTGCCCACGAAGTTGTTGATCATGGCCAAAATATGTTTATATGTATTTATTAGAACGCCTGCAGAGCAGACTGCAGTACTGAGTCTGTGCCAGCAGGTGGCAGAGCACAACGCTGCAGTTATGAATGAATGCGCTCTGACTGCATGGCTTTAGGCAGCATGACCACAGAAAAATAGACTGACTTCTCCCTCCTCAGTGCACTGCCGGCATCATGGCGCTCCATTACTCTGCTCCAAGTAGCGGGGGCGCGCACGCGCGCGCGCACGCACACATTAACATGGTACACACAGGATCAGAGCTTCTGCGCTTTCTATTTTTAATAGAAAAAAGTATTTAAAATAATACAACAGTAAGTATCCAGTAAGGATGACAACAGCAACAAAACAAAACAAATCAAAGAAAAAGAAAAAAAAGTGATTAGGTCTGTGTCTCCACGGCAACCATGCATCCTCCCCTTACGCTCAGCCCAGTTTGCTGCTTCAGTGCCAGTGTGTGTGTGTATGTCTGTGTGTGTGTGAACACTGAGCCAAAGCAGAAATGTGGAGCTACATGGAACACCTCTGACTGATGCACATGACAGTCTGCTGGTGAAATGAGGAGGACACATTAATGTGTTTGAGTGACTCATATCGATACGCCGAACGTGTGCTGGAATGAGTGTGTGCTACCATATGTACAAGAATAGACTGCACGTGCACGTTAGCACGGCTCTGCCAGGTTCTGGTAAAAGGTGGAGGACGGATTGGGTTGAGACACAGATGCGGTGAATTATGCAGCTTCACTCTGATTGCTGTGGCGGTGAGGGCGATAATGGTTTTGATGAGGATACACTACGATGGAAGCCAAGAGTAAAACAAACTGAAGAAAAGAACATCATGGAAGGGAAGGGCTTGAGTGAATGATTGGCTGGAACAGAATAAAAAACAAAAACAAAAAACAAAAACAGGGTCCTTGACTTCAAGGCAGGAGGAGTTGAGTTTCAAATCACCAGCTCGCTCCATATTCTCTCTTATTAAAATATCCCCAAAATATTCCCCCCTTTCTCCGCCTTCCCTCTTCCTCCCTCACCCGTTCTCTCAGGCTGCCGCGGCCCAGGCCAGCCTGACTGTAGCCAGGCAGGCCAAAGAGTTCAGTGTGGATCCTGGTAGTGTTAGATATCTCCTTCCCTGCGCTCTTTCTTCTCCACTCGTGCATCTCGAGACACCCACCAACATGTTCCTCCTTCCTGGGCCTCCGTATTTGGGAAGTTCTTTTGTCCAATTGCAGGGGTTAAATATAGACAGACAGACAGGAGGACAGACAGGAGGACAGATGGAGGCCTGCGAAGCCGCCTTTATCCAGCTCGAGGAAACGGCCGTGCCCAACCCGTCAGAGGCGAGTTCACGCGATGTGTGCACATCCGTCACCGCGTCATCCTCCATCCCTCCCTCCTTTCATCTGCCTGTCACTTCATCCCTCGCCACCTCCATCTGTCCACCCGGGGCCTGAAGGGGTGAGGCGCTAAGTAAGGAGGGCTGTGTATAGTCTCTGAAGAAAGTTTTCTTTATGCCATTCTCTCTCTCTGTCTCAAGCATCCCCCACTCTTTCGCTTGTATTTAAAGTATTATCTTTGCCACATGTTCAACAACTCACAAAATCATACCAACATAAAGTGTCCTGTCAACACCCCATTGGTCAAACACTGATTTAGCGCTCTCTCAGGCACACGCACACGCACACGCACACACACACACACGGTGAGGCTCTCTGTGGGGGTGACTCCTGGGGGCCTCTGTGCTATGTCCCATCTTCCTCCTCCTCCTCCTCCGAACAGTAGTCTCGTCCCTGCAAACAAAAGCATGACTATGAGAAGAGCCGACACCTGTTACACCACCTCATTTACACAGACCACCGTCAGTCTTCAGGCACCCGATAAAGTGCTCAAAAGTGGGCTAAACTAGCTGCTCTCCTTTCCTCTGCAGAGCTTTTCCAACTCTCCTCAAAAAAGCTCTGAAATCACAGGATGCCTCAGAAGGACGCCGAGTGCAGTACTGTAATATTTCCACTCTGTATTACTTCATAGTAATGATGCTTTTCAAATTAAAAGACTTTTACTTCAACGTTAATGTGACAGATATGTTTTCTTTTTTCAGATTTGCAGATTGCACTCATAATGTTTTGATTAAAACACCAGACAGTAATTAAAGCTCTGTTAACGGGCTTTATTTTTGGGCCACATTAACATATTATGACCCGATTGCATTTATACAGGAAAACAGCAGCCTAGTAAAAATCCATCATGTAACCCTATCCATCAGACTCTGTAGCAAGTATCACTATCATTCATCTGGAGATTTGTTTTTTCCTCCAGCATTCGCCGTCATTCTCATTTGTGTAGCTCTCTGTTGACGTCAAACAAGTCACAGAGCTGATTTATAGAATCGCATTAAATCTGTGGCATGGCTGGAACACGGCTTTAACTACACACACTGCAGTCACAGACCATAATAGCTGTGACTGTTTGGAGGCAACATCCAGTGTAAACACAGTACATCAGTCTGATTTTAGGTCCCCGTCACACAGGCCTAGAGACCGGTTGCAGAGCGGTTGCTGGCAGTTGCACCTCCCCGTGATTTGGCCACTCATAATTTGCAGGGAACATTCAAACTTCTCCAAGTTTCATAACAGTTTAAAAGAGCAGATGACTGCACTTCTTCACGTTATTTAAAAAAATGTTCCACCTCTCATCCAAGAGGCTCCTTCGGGTCTGATGGATGAGAAGGAACGCCTTTGAAAAAGACCACGATGACCAAAAACCTACATGGACGTACTCTCCGATTTCAGCTGCAACCAAAGCAGGTCCCAGGGTGCAACTTTTACTCGCAACTCCTGGAATCAACTCCAGATGTTTGAAATATATCGAATACACCAACATTTTACTATCTTCACGCTGTAGCTACATTTCCTCATCCACGTTTCAAGGCCGAGGTGAAAATTTTAATCCGTCATAGCGAAGCTGAATCGAGGATTACTCATTTCACTTTGGGTGCTTCTGACTGTTTATGAGCTTGCAGCGTAATTCAAGAGGCAGACTAAGAGCAGCGAGCGCTCATCACCGTGGCGATCACCTGTCCCTCCCCCTCAGTGAGGGAGATGTTTAATGGTTTAGGATCCAGCTGTTATTTTAAATGCCCTGCCCCTCCTTCACTGCAACCCTCCCCAACAAACCCCACTTCCGGCCTCCTCACCTTCTCAATCTTCTCATCCAGCATCCTGAAAAATTCCTGCTGGCTTTCTGACGTGTGAATGCTGAGAGACACAGACACAAATGGAAAAGTTAGAGAGGGGGGGAGAGGAAGTTGGAGGATGGAGATGAGGAGGAGGGGGGAGGCAACAAATACATCATGAGAATTTTCCATTACAACCCCCCCACACACACATACAGCACAGACACGCACACACATCCCTCACCGCAGTGTGAGAAACAGTTCTGTTTGGAGGATTTTAAAAGATCATTTAATAAAGAATTAATGCAGCAAAAGACTAAAGACTGCAGCCGGCAGCAGCCGTGATGTACGCACGCAGAGGCTCATCAACATGCACGCAGCGGGGGCCGGCCACGAGGCAGGATTACAAAAGCCAGACACAAAATATCGCTCGCTTCACGTCATAACATTAACATACTGAGGTGACAACTTAATGGAAGCAGCCGCTTATGAACGCATCAGTTCAGCCAGATTCAGACGCGCTTCAATAATCATTTCTGTTTGTTTTCATTAGAACTCGTCAGAATAAAAAGGCTCCGGCTTGAATTCGAGTGAAATAACGTTCAGCCTGATAACTTCGGCTTATTTTTCATTCGCAAGATTATTTCACATTTTTCTAGGTCCCCTTTCTACTGGCTGCATGGCTCTGAGAGGGGGCCCCCGCCACAGTTTAAGAACCTCCGGCTCAACAGTTCATTTTGAACGTTGAAAACAGCCGAAATCAGCGTGGAAACAGAAAGAGAAACTGTGGCTTCCTCTGTCACAAAACAAAAAGAAAATATATTACGTAATGTGAGCAAACTGTACCTTTGACATTTGTCATTCAAATTACCGAAGTTGCCCATAAAGAATAGATGTTATTATTTATTCCCACTGCATGTTTACGAGATTAAACCCGCTACTCATGACTTACTTGGATTTGATGTTTGGTGCAGGAACCTCTTTCTGATGTTTGCCTTTGTGCTGGACATTACTCTTCTCCTGAAAACGCACGCACATGCGCACCATTAGTTTTCATTATCAGCTGATGGATACGTTTAAAACAAACAGCTACATCACTGGAAGCAAATGTCACATCAAACCTGGATTATCAAATTACAATCCTCACTCAGACGGCACTGCGTGACGGGCGTGGGACACGGGAAAGAGGCATAATGTATGTATGCCTAATAAAACTGATTATCGGCTCTGATGAAGGTTGATCACCATGCATGCGTTTCCTGCTGTGTTTCCGCATCATGCATTTTCCACCTCTGAGTCTCTGAGTGAGGATTACTTTGTGAGAGCAAGCAGCTACACGGATGCTGGTCAGACCGCAAACGGCAGACGGACCGGGCTATGTAAAAACGCAGCTTGTGTCTTACAACAACTCATTTGACGCTATATAAATAAAACTGCATTGAATACAGTGCTTATCTGTTGTGTGTCTGTACTGAAAATGCGCATGTGAGACAGTATGACTCATGACTGCAGACCAAAACTACCTACAGGTAAAATAAAATAACGTGAACCTGAATATGAAGGCAGACCTAATTCACATGACGCTCATTCTTTTCAGTCAGTTAGTGATCTGGAGAGGATAAAAACCTGGTTTTGCAAGTTTCACCTTTTGAGGAATAATGCATCCAAACATTATTATGTAACAGGGAAGCTGTTCTGCAAATTTCCGAAGCAGAATGACTTTCCCAGTCACGATATAGTACGTCTTTGCACCACTGAAGACCTAAAAGTTTTGCAGGAGGGAGTGAAACCAACCGAGCGATCAGCCCACACATTCCACACACGCCTCATGTTGTTTCTACCTGCATGCGAGGCAAGTTTTGTGTGTGTTTTCTGCACTAAGACAATGTGTGTGTGCGTGCAGGCTGGTCAGGCTGACGGAGCCGCCTCTGGACACAAACAGCAGTCTGTTCGCCTCATCTGATGGACTGTCAGGAAAAGGTCTGCGAGTCTGTGAGCCGATGACAGGCTGTCAGCGGATGGTGTGTGCGTGTTTGTGTGTCTCACCAGGTTCTCCTGGTTGCGTGCATTCACTCGGTTTTCATCCCCTCTCATGTACTTCACCTCCTCCACTCCCTTCTTGTATTCGTCTGGAAAGAGAGAGAATGAGGGATGATTAAAGGAGGGAGGAAAGAACAATAAGTTGCATTTATCAGAAGAAACAGGGACCAAATTCCTTTCAGAAATAGTTTAAGAATGGCTCGTCAGCCTTACTGTAACCTCGCTGCAACAGCAACATGGCCAGCGACTATTCCATTGATTGTTGTTATAATTGGTTCAAGGTAATCTGATAACTATGACCTGATGGGGTGTACTGAAAAGTGGAGATGACAGCTGAGGGATGAGCAGGAGGACACAAGTTTCCATTTTAGCTACAGCAATTCATCTGATGAGAGAGAAAGCAACGACGGGCAGACACCGAGGGAGAATAAGTGAGTAGTGGGTATGTGAAATGAGAGGAGACGAAAAGGGGGGGGAAGAAAAAAGAGGCGATAAGGAGGAGTAAGCTGCAGGGGATTTAAGATCAGTTAAACAGCTTCTGGGCTTCATGGACAGCTTAGACGGTTAAGACAGTTAAGACAAACTCAGAGGCAGCAAGAGCGTTGGCCGTCACCAAACGGCGCAACCATCTGCACGGTTCAACCACCGCGCCCAGAACGTCCGGCCTCAATCAAGCCCACAGCTCAGACTCAGGGCAATAAATCATCCAAAGTTATTTTCCCGATACCGTCCGAGCCCCGATGATTAGCCCAAGAACAGCCGAGATATCGCGATGCACACAGTCAACCCACACAAGTGCAAACTGTGCAAACTAACGAACGACAGCCGATACTCATTACGGATCTTATCATTAAGTCCATAAACAAATATCACAGTCCTTTATGACTTCCACTCGGGTGGTTCTGTTTCTGGTTTTCACTGTGTCCACGAACGCGATCGCTTGAAGAGTTTTGAATGCCATGTGATCAAACTTTGTGGGGGGCGTAGAGCGGGGTCGTGTTTACAACCTGGCTCGCGTCCATCGAGGCCTTCAAGGTCAACTTCATGATTTTGTCATGAAAACTGACAAAAAGCCTTAGAACGTGTGCATACAGGGAGTGCAGAATTATTAGGCAAGTTGTATTTTTGAGGAATCATTTTATTATTGAACAACAACCATGTTCTCAATGAACCCAAAAAACTCATTAATATCAAAGCTGAATGTTTTTGGAAGTAGTTTTTAGTTTGTTTTTAGTTTTAGCTATTTTAGGGGGATATCTGTGTGTGCAGGTGACTATTACTGTGCATAATTATTAGGCAACTTAACAAAAAACAAATATATACCCATTTCAATTATTTATTTTTACCAGTGAAACCAATATAACATCTCCACATTCACAAATATACATTTCTGACATTCAACAAAAACAAATCAGCGACCAATATAGCCACCTTTCTTTGCAAGGACACTCAAAAGCCTGCCATCCATGGATTCTGTCAGTGTTTTGATCTGTTCACCATCAACATTGCGTGCAGCAGCAACCACAGCCTCCCAGACACTGTTCAGAGAGGTGTACTGTTTTCCCTCCTTGTAAATCTCACATTTGATGATGGACCACAGGTTCTCAATGGGGTTCAGATCAGGTGAACAAGGAGGCCATGTCATTAGTTTTTCTTCTTTTATACCCTTTCTTGCCAGCCACGCTGTGGAGTACTTGGACGCGTGTGATGGAGCATTGTCCTGCATGAAAATCATGTTTTTCTTGAAGGATGCAGACTTCTTCCTGTACCACTGCTTGAAGAAGGTGTCTTCCAGAAACTGGCAGTAGGACTGGGAGTTGAGCTTGACTCCATCCTCAACCCGAAAAGGCCCCACAAGCTCATCTTTGATGATACCAGCCCAAACCAGTACTCCACCTCCACCTTGCTGGCGTCTGAGTCGGACTGGAGCTCTCTGCCCTTTACCAATCCAGCCACGGGCCCATCCATCTGGCCCATCAAGACTCACTCTCATTTCATCAGTCCATAAAACCTTAGAAAAACCAGTCTTGAGATATTTCTTGGCCCAGTCTTGACGTTTCAGCTTGTGTGTCTTGTTCAGTGGTGGTCGTCTTTCAGCCTTTCTTACCTTGGCCATGTCTCTGAGTATTGCACACCTTGTGCTTTTGGGCACTCCAGTGATGTTGCAGCTCTGAAATATGGCCAAACTGGTGGCAAGTGGCATCTTGGCAGCTGCACGCTTGACTTTTCTCAGTTCATGGGCAGTTATTTTGCGCCTTGGTTTTTCCACACGCTTCTTGCGACCCTGTTGACTATTTTGAATGAAACGCTTGATTGTTCGATGATCACGCTTCAGAAGCTTTGCAATTTTGAGACTGCTGCATCCCTCTGCAAGATATCTCACTATTTTTGACTTTTCTGAGCCTGTCAAGTCCTTCTTTTGACCCATTTTGCCAAAGGAAAGGACGTTGCCTAATAATTATGCACACCTGATATAGGGTGTTGATGTCATTAGACCACACCCCTTCTCATTACAGAGATGCACATCACCTAATATGCTTAATTGGTAGTAGGCTTTCGAGCCTATACAGATTGGAGTAAGACAACATGCATGAAGAGGATGATGTGGACAAAATACTCATTTGCCTAATAATTCTGCACTCCCTGTATGGTCAAAATATAAAAAGTAAGATTTCAAATGTCAGATTTGACCTCTGACCCTCCTTTATGGTGAACAGACTGATCTGAAGGTCAGAACCTGAGTTATTTAAATGTTGCATTGACAACATGCTTACAGGGAATGTCACACAGGGATCGTGTTACTTTATTATGACTTTTTTTAGACACATAATGGTAACAGATTAGAACTGTTTCAATAAATGTACAATTACTAAATGTGTAACCGATGGAGTGAATGCTACATGTGTACTATATGCACGACATGAATATATGGAAGATACTCTACTATTCCCTTAAAAGTACACAGAGCCCAGAGAGCGAGCTGCCTGGGCGGATGTTTGTGCTCTCCGGCTGCTTCTTGTTGTATTTTAGATGACATTAATGAGCCTTTAAAGACCAAAGTGAACACACAGTACAGTTCCAGTATGATGAGGCCTACTGCCAGCCATGTGTTTATCATGTTTATTGATGATTATTAATGATCAGTGATGTGGGACGCATTGGAATGGTTTTAGGACCTTTAGACAAGCTCTTAATTAGAGTGACCGTAACGTGAAATGATATGTACGGCACATTTGCGTAACCCCGAGCCCCGCCTAACCTTGAGCAACAACACAAGCTCTGCTGACTACCTCGTAACTGATAAAGCAGCTGAGAAGGCGATAAGTACCAGTGGCTTTATCTCTTACACACTTTGTATTTTGCCCCCACGCTCTCTCTGCAGTGTGTCTGTCGGCGTGACGTCCGTCTGTGCCCCCACGTACCCAGCTGAAGGGTTCGCCCAACTCCTCACCTGATGTGTGCTTAAGCCCACGATCACCTGTGTTTTTACATCGCGCACGTGTGTCTTTAGAGCCGAAATAATTAGCGAGAGAAAGAGAGAACGCTGACAGAGATGAAGAGAAAGAGACGAGAGAAACAAATGCCAGCTCCTTTTCTGCTGTTTGTCTCAGGAATGTAAACGAGTCGGAGCAAAGCAGCTCCTGTCTGAACATGCCGACAAACACACACATACGGCGCTGTAACACAGCACAGGCTCACCGAGCTCAGGTCTGCTCTGTAAACACAAGTGCATACGGTGCTACTGTAGGAAACAGTACTAAGAGCTATTTCCTCTGCTCTCCTGATGGCAGAGGGGCAACAGCATCAATTTCAAGCTATATAATCTGTTTTTTTAGGGCAGAGACAAACGAACAGAGGGGGTAAAATTAGCAGCAGCTGCTGGATTTACACTAAATCAGCCTAAACTGGAATTTTAAAGCAAGCATTGAGGAGCATGTGGCATTATAATTTGCGTGAGCTGCAGCCTGAGAGGTTAAAGTGTTTGAATGTTCTGCTTCTGTCACAGGATGGCAGCTGAACGCCACGATAAACGGTAGACAGATCAAAGTGACCCAGCTTGCACCAATCAAGAGTCATCACATCACAGACTTTGCTTCGATTTAGATAGGAGCAAAGAAAGTGGTCACGCTGCGCGAGTTGTATGTGAAGCGTGCGTGCGTGCGCGTGGCACGCTGTGTCACAAGAGATGACATGGGTGTTTCGTCACATCGATGCTGGGCTCGCTTTGGGTGAGGGGGAGGGAGCCCGTCGGAGAGGGGAGAGATGAAAGGGAAGAACTATTTTGAGAAGCCGCGATTTTGTGATGTGGACGTCGTTCACATCTCTGATTACAGAGCGGCGCTCCGCGCTGACCTTAAGATACCAGCAGTCAGAGTGTGTGCGCGCGTGTGTTCACATGTGTGTGTGTGTGTGTGTGTGCACAAGCATGTTTCATCGCAGATAGAAATGGAAACGTCTTTGAATCAGCACGTTTGTCATTTCATGCGAGTGCAGTGTTTGTTTGGGTATGAGTCATTTAAATCGCCTTATTTAAGCGTGTGTGTCTGCTCTCATAGCTCTCGCTGGCCTGTCCTGTGGCTATGTCACTCTGTCCTTCCTGCTGTGTGTCCTCCCTCTCAGCCAGCCTGGCTACAAGCCATCATCGGTCTGGCCGTGACACTCACACCTGAACGTGAACCCTCATCTCTAAACAGGCGCACACACACCAACCATCGCTCCAATGAAATGACTATCAGCTTTGAAAGGAGAAGAGAGAAAAAAAATTGTTTATGATATTTTGAACAGAAATCTTGCCGGCAGGGATAAAATGATGAAAAGCAGGAAGAGAACGATCTCAAACAGTTTATTACTGCAAGGCCCGTTTAACATTTCGGCTGGAGTCACTGAACTATCGGAGGAAGGTTATACAGTTAACTACAACTGAACTAAAGCACTGGCTGTGGGAACACGTTAGGCAACACCTTGCTAATGCTTCAGAACCATCTTTATACTTTATGGCACAGATTCAGCACACTGCTGGAAACATCCCTGACAGCTGCTGCATCCATGACGTTTACCGCATCCTAAAGTTGCTCTATTGGATCAGATT